ATGAAACGGCACGAATCGAGAGGAGACGAGACGAGGCAAAGCGAAACGGGGCGGGGAATGGCAAGAAAGGCGAGGTGGTACAGAGGAATGAGCTGGACAGAACAGACAGGCCCACTCGTAGAACGGCGGACAAAACAGGCAAGACGCGACATGGCACGGCACAGTACGACACGACACGGCACTGTAAGGACGGACTGCTCTTGTCTTGCTCTGTTCTTTATCATTTTACCGACGAACTGGGACAAGGCGTTAGTTTCGCCGATGGCTATCACCGCTATCACCGATATTCTCTTCGGTTATCTCAGTTGGTCGAGAGCTGTACTCGTGACCAGAAGATTATGGTTCGAATCCTAGCATTTCAAAGCAAAAAACTTCTGCCGGCGTCGCACGCGTGGCTGAAAGGCAAACGCTATTCAACATAGACTCAGAACTCCATAGCACCAGGCGAAGGCCGGGGACTGAGGTGATGGACACGACGTGTGCACACACCAGACGAGAACGAAAGCCCGAATAATCATTCCACCCAAGGCCTTTATCCTTTCCGCTGACCTGCTCTCTGTCGCTCGACATTCCTTATGCCCTCCGTCCTCTGACCTCCATCGTTTCATTTACTGTGCCTTATTTCATCGTCCTGCACAGTCCTTTGTGATGACCCGTTCTCCCCGTCCGGTCCCTGTCCTGTCGGGCGTCCTGGCCTGCATGCACTGTCTTTCTGTGTGGTATGATACCTGTCTTGTGTCGTACCGAACAATGGAGAGCCCATGTCCTGCCGGGCATTCTGACCTGCCTGCACTGCCCGTCTGTGCAGTATTATGCCAGTCTTGTGTCGTACCGAGCCCTGGGGAGCCCCTGCCCTGCCGGATGCTCTGACCTACCTGTACTGTCTGTCTGTGTAGTATTATGTCTGTCTTGTGTCGTACCAAACCCTGGGGAGCCCCTGCCGTGCCGGGCGCTCTGACCTGCCTGCACTGTCTTTCTGTATGGTATGAAGCCTGTCGTATGTCGTAGCGAACTCTGGGAAACTGTCCTGCCCATTTGTCCTCTTTCAAGTCATTTGTCCTGATCCGCTCCGTCCTGTCATGTCCTCCGCCCTGTCCTCTGCGCAGTCCGCTGATTGCACGCTTCCCTGTCTTCTGTGGCGTCCTCTGTGCTGTCCTGTATCCTATATCCCGTCCTCTAAGCTGTCCTGTGCCATATCCCCTGTCCTCTGTGCTGTCCTGTGTCCTATGCCCTGTCTTCTGCGCTGTCCTATGTCCTATCCCCTGTTCTTTGTGCTGTCCTGTGCCCTATCCCATGTCCTCTGTGCTGTCGTGTGCCCTATCCCCTGTCATCTGTGCTGCTGTGTCTTATCCCCTGTCCTCTTTGCTGTTGTGTGTCCTATCCACTGTCCTCTGCGTTGTCCTGTGTCCCCCGTCCTCTGTGCTGTCCAGCGTTCCATTCGTGCTGAGCCGTCCTCTTCTGTACTGGACAGCGGACTCGGCACATCATGACCGCACCTCAGTGTCGCGCATGCGTGTCAGGACGTGCCCATGCTGATATACTGCGCTTATGTAAAAACTGGCTACGGCTGGTAGCGGTCATCTTAGAATTGACCGGTGTTCATGCTGATGGGATGAAAGTATTCGGAGGACGTGGACGCACCGTCGAAAAAATATTGTGTTGTAACAAACCATACCTTCTTAAGTTAGCCTTCAAACCGAATTATATGTCGTTGCATCCCCTAACTAGAGTACACCGTTAAAAATTCAAGGTGTGACAGGCTTCTGACAGAGGCTCAGCGTGCCCGCGTCATAAGCGTACCTTAACAGTTAATTAGGGATGCAGCTGCATCCCCTAACGCTAGTTAACATTAGATCTATGGTGTTTCATACGCATCATGGAGCCAAACGTGGCAGTTGCACCCCCTGAATGTGTTTCTTGTTGCCAAGTCTCGATCTGGGCAGCGTAGCGGACCAGTGCGGTCTGCCTGTGTTGTGACGCGATACCGACTGCTTTACCACACTATACCGCCTGTAACCACGGACGACTGCAAGTGGAAGACCGGATCAAGGATTATAGTTTGAACTCTCGCTCTCACTCATGTGAACTCAAACATCACGGCACATGTGTAGTACATTAGGGTAATGGCGCATGACGCATGTGCCAGAAACATAACAACAGAAGTAGAAGGGTACTTAATTGTGGCTTTGCGCATGAAATATGTCAAATGGTACCAAATATAGATATTCTACTGACGTCATACTTCATAATGTCTGCAACACGCTCCGCTCGTGTGCCGGTCAAGTCGGTCGGCATGCAAAGAACATCGCACACGATGTGCACGTCCACGCGACGGCTGTGGTGCCAGGCGACAGCTGTGGTGAGGTGATATCAGTGAAACTGCGTCCTTCTCTGGTTCGTTCTACGGCTCAGTTAGTCTTTTCTGCGTTCTCCTTTGCTCTTTTATCTGTGTTCTTGTCTGTTTGCCTTTTTTCTTTGCTTGCTCAAGTTCTTCGATATGTTACTGTCAAACTTATTATTCTCAACATTTGCACGCTTTGGTTTCATTGCCACCCACAAGGGTCAAAGTTTATGTCAAATGACGTAGCACACCGACTTAACCTGTGACACCCAACCGATCTTAAGCACCATAACGTAGTTCGTCCTCCGCACTCAACTCCGTCAACGTGACATGAGCAGTCAAGGTCATCTTTCAAGTTTTGTTTCAAGGTTAAAGAAGAGGAAGCCTCATGGTGACCGAAATCACGCCAATAACATGCAAATAGGTTTAACATCCAACCCAGCATTTTAAATGTCAAGATGAAGTTTGTCATCAGCGCCAATCTGAACTACAATCTGCCCCATCCTCAAAATGCTTCTTCAAAGTCCAAATCATTATGACGCCTCTGAATATCCACAAGAGCGAATCCAAGGGAAGGTGCATCTGGACCACAGCCCTCGCTTAGATATCCAAAGTCGGACGAGGGTGACATGCTGATAATGATGACAAGATGACCTTACTGGTATATTTTCAGTGGAATACGAGGAGACCGTACAGTCTCACATGAAATACGGGACAGTTCATGGGAAAGTGGTCTTACATCCCTATCAATTCCTGCCCTGCCCTTCGCGTTTTCGGTCCAGACAGGGCAAGACGTGCGAGTTACATGCGCATAATATTCCTTGGTTATATTTCCAGTCAAGATACGGCAGACATCTCTTTTGTAACTCGATATGCAGTATGTCATTGTCCAGGTCTTTTAAAATACCCAAGAACGGTCCCCTTAGCACACAAATGCCATTCCGAGCCTAACAAAGCCCTCCAAACTGAAAGATCCAAGCAGGGGCTCTACAACGGCAGAGAGGGGTCCTTCGGCAGAAAGACCCTTGCGAGTCCATTCAGACCAATGAACGAAACCCTAGCTAGCCGGTGGCGCACAGTTGTTGAGGCTGGCGAAGGCACGGCCACGCCCCCGGATAGTGCCCGCTCCTGGCCGCGCCCTTGCCAGAGACGCCGTCCCGTCAGCTGATCATCAGCTGACTGTCCACATCGACCGCCGGTGGCGGCCACCGGGACGCGGCCGGCCTCGGAGAACGGACAAAACCTCGCCTCGCGTCCGCGCTTTGTCTTGTGAAGGACAGCATGCGGATGCCCGCTCTTCAAACGGCATTGCTGAATTTGTCCACGGAGAGGGGACTCTCGATGCGATGCGGGGGGTGTCCAACTCGCCAAAAACAATGTTTTTCGTGAATGTGATTGTTGGACTAAGAAGTAGTTTGAATTTGAAACGATAAGCGGTCCACGCTATCTACAGCACACCATTGCAGCTGATGTCCGTTGCAGACATCTGCACGTGGCGGTGCGGGGGCAGTGCAGGGAGTTGGTGAGGGCCGAGCTCCTTGTACAAATTGCGGGAGCCATCGTCAGTAGCGCCTCCGACCCCGCGCTACACTTTTGCCACTGAAGAATGATTATGCAAAGTGAAAAAACTATATGGCGTTTATTAAACAGCTTTTCTAAAACCTCCCGGACATAAGCGTTTGTGTGTCGACAGTTTCAAGTTCTAAGCTCACGATGGAGCGATTCGCTCCGGTGCATTCGAAAGATGCTTTCCCATCAAATAGATACTAAGCATCATTAGGACACGCGGTGATTTTGCACAACTAAGAGCTAACTTCACTACATCGTTAGCTACGGAGTTTGTGAGATGATTCGGACGAGTGCATTGAGCGCCAGACCGGTACGTCTGACGTGGTTTAGTGCAATATAGGTGGCATATCTACAGAGGCATACAGAGGACTGGGTCACTTGCTGTGCGGTGATGCGTGTGGGCCCGGGGATGGAAGGTGGACTCGCCCGAGCAGCTGTCCCCATTCTCAGCGCACGCTCCGTCTGTCTCATTGCTTTCATTCGCCCCACGAATCTCAACAATTTTCGTCTTCCTTCCGGCAGAAGCGCATCCCCAGAGGCCAGTTTCAAGTTTAATCCTATCGCTTCGTACACAGCGGCTCCCTTACGACCTTTCTCAGTATGTACGATAGGCGTCCGGTGAGGGATGTTCCTGCCTCCACACCCAGACCCGTGCAATGATACATACATGTTTACATATGCACGCATCATAAATATTGGACGGCATACGGGCACGCACCTAAAAAGAAGGAACTACGAATGAAAGGAATAATGCGGCAGTTTACGCGCCACGCAGCGCAATCTCACCATTACTTGACGAACACATCATTCAGCACCCACCAGCCCTTCCTTAGCGGGCCTGAGAGGTCTGCCAACAGCCACAGGCCCGTGTTTCCCGCGTGTTTCGCGGAACGAAGCTGCGACCTCTGCGCCTGTTCATTCGACTCCATCCATTCAGATATGCAGAGTATCGTTGCACGTGTATTGTTTCCCAAATCGGCTGGCTGAGTTAGAAACGTAATGTTCAAATCACACAAACCATAACGTACGGAACCGGATTAGCATTTATTGTACACAGGAATGACATCAGATACCACCACGGAGCCTGAGGACCAGATGAAGCGTAGACTCCTTCTGTATGTTGTAGTCAGACAGGGTGCGACCGTCCTCCAGCTGCTTTCCGGCGAAGATCAGACGCTGCTGGTCGGGAGGGATTCCCTCCTTGTCCTGGATCTTGGCTTTCACATTTTCAATCGAGTCAGATGGCTCAACCTCCAACGTAATTGTCTTCCCAGTAAGCGTTTTCACGAAGATCTGCATGCCACCACGCAGGCGAAGGACCAGATGAAGTGTCGACTCCTTCTGGATGTTGTAGTCGGACAGCGTACGCCCATCCTCCAGCTGCTTGCCGGCGAAAATCAGACGCTGCTGATCTGGGGGGATTCCCTCCTTGTCCTGGATCTTGGCCTTGACATTCTCAATTGAGTCAGATGGCTCCACTTCCAGGGTGATGGTCTTGCCAGTCAGGGTTTTGACGAAGATCTGCATGCCTCCACGAAGCCTGAGGACCAGGTGAAGGGTTGACTCCTTCTGGATGTTGTAATCAGACAGGGTGCGGCCATCCTCCAGCTGCTTGCCAGCGAAGATAAGACGCTGCTGGTCTGGAGGGATTCCCTCCTTGTCCTGGATCTTGGCCTTCACATTCTCAATGGTATCAGAGGGCTCAACTTCGAGGGTGATGGTCTTGCCAGTCAGGGTCTTAACGAAGATCTGCATGCCTCCTCGGAGCCTCAGAACCAGATGAAGCGTAGACTCCTTCTGAATGTTGTAGTCAGACAGCGTCCGGCCGTCCTCCAGCTGCTTGCCGGCAAAAATCAAACGCTGCTGATCTGGCGGGATTCCCTCCTTGTCCTGGATCTTGGCCTTGACATTCTCAATCGAGTCAGACGGCTCGACCTCCAGAGTGATCGTTTTGCCAGTCAACGTTTTGACGAAAATCTGCATACCTCCGCGGAGCCTCAGAACCAGATGAAGCGTAGACTCCTTCTGGATGTTGTAATCAGACAGGGTGCGACCGTCCTCCAGCTGCTTGCCAGCGAAAATCAGACGCTGCTGATCAGGAGGGATTCCCTCCTTGTCCTGGATCTTGGCCTTGACGTTCTCGATCGAGTCGGATGGCTCCACCTCCAAGGTGATCGTCTTTCCAGTCAGGGTCTTCACGAAAATCTGCATACCTCCACGGAGCCTAAGGACCAGATGAAGGGTCGACTCCTTCTGAATGTTATAATCAGACAGGGTGCGACCGTCCTCCAGCTGCTTGCCGGCAAAAATCAGACGCTGCTGATCGGGCGGGATTCCCTCCTTGTCCTGAATCTTGGCCTTCACGTTCTCAATGGTGTCCGAGGGCTCCACTTCCAAAGTGATGGTCTTGCCTGTGAGCGTTTTCACGAAGATCTGCATACCTCCACGGAGTCGCAGGACCAGATGGAGCGTAGATTCCTTCTGGATATTGTAATCAGACAGGGTGCGGCCATCCTCCAGCTGCTTGCCAGCGAAGATAAGACGCTGCTGATCGGGGGGGATACCCTCCTTGTCCTGAATCTTGGCCTTCACATTCTCAATGGTATCCGAGGGCTCAACTTCGAGGGTGATGGTCTTGCCAGTCAGGGTCTTAACGAAAATCTGCATGCCTCCTCGGAGCCTCAGAACCAGATGAAGCGTCGACTCCTTCTGAATGTTGTAGTCTGACAGCGTCCGGCCGTCCTCCAGCTGCTTGCCGGCAAAAATCAGACGCTGCTGATCTGGCGGGATTCCCTCCTTGTCCTGAATCTTGGCCTTGACATTCTCGATCGAGTCAGACGGCTCAACCTCCAGCGTGATCGTTTTGCCAGTCAGCGTTTTGACGAAAATCTGCATACCTCCACGGAGCCTCAAGACCAAGTGGAGGGTGGATTCCTTCTGAATGTTGTAATCAGAAAGGGTTCTGCCATCTTCCAGCTGCTTTCCAGCAAAGATCAAACGCTGCTGGTCGGGAGGGATTCCCTCCTTGTCCTGGATCTTGGCTTTCACATTTTCAATCGAGTCAGATGGCTCAACCTCCAAAGTAATCGTCTTCCCAGTAAGCGTTTTCACGAAGATCTGCATGCCACCACGCAGGCGAAGGACCAGATGAAGCGTCGACTCCTTCTGGATGTTGTAGTCGGACAGCGTACGCCCATCCTCCAGCTGCTTGCCGGCGAAAATCAGGCGCTGCTGATCTGGGGGGATTCCCTCCTTGTCCTGGATCTTGGCCTTGACATTCTCAATTGAGTCAGATGGCTCCACTTCCAGGGTGATGGTCTTGCCAGTCAGGGTCTTCACAAAGATCTGCATGCCTCCACGGAGCCTAAGGACCAGATGAAGAGTTGACTCCTTCTGAATATTGTAATCAGACAGGGTGCGGCCATCCTCAAGCTGTTTTCCAGCGAAGATCAGACGCTGCTGGTCTGGAGGGATTCCCTCCTTGTCCTGGATCTTGGCCTTCACATTCTCAATGGTGTCTGATGGCTCAACTTCAAGGGTGATGGTCTTGCCAGTCAGGGTCTTCACAAAGATCTGCATCTGAAATAAGAATACATGTATGAAAATAACAGTTTGCCACACAAGACTAAGCAACCATACAGCCCAGCAAGCAGCACAACACCAGAGGAAATGATGAAATTTTTATCAAGTGTGGACATTTCTATCAATGTCGTTAATTTCTGTTTACACCTTTACCATCAGTATCTTGCGGTCAGGGTGTACTTTCCTACCTAACGTTAGAAAAAATTATTGTACACCATTCGTCGTGTTTAAGGCATAACGTATCATAAATAATCTCAAAACAGGTAGAATCATGCTCCTACCTTCGAATTTCAATAACTTCGATGGCGGGCCCCCGAGCGCCGCGCGCGCCGCACCGCCTGGACTCCCCAGCGCCGTTTCCGCGTTGCCGTTGCGTAAATACAATATTTCTGCGTACCAAGAACTGTACAAAATGTACGGGACCAAAGTAAACCATTCGTCATGTTTAAGGCAGGACAACCATAACCTAACTGTGAACCATAAAAATATTTACTAAACATAAACCATATTTACCATAACCACATTTACCATATAAACCATATTAACTGTGAACCATACTATAAACCACAACTATAACCATAAACTATACTATATAAACCATACTATAACTATAAACCATATTTACTGCAAACCACAAAAATGTACCAATGTACCGGGACAAGGTAGCAAGAATCCATGAAATTTGATCCTCGACGCCAACGGGACCATGGGTTGCAGGGGGATAGGGTGGGGAATGTAAAGCAAAATGAGAGCATGGCAGCTAAATAAAAGCTCACTATATGGCACCTATATATGGCATGGAACATGGATGCCAATGAGATGCTGGGTTGAAGGGGATATAGGGTGGGGAGGTTAGGTTAGGTTAGGTAGGTTCAGGGTCAGGTCAGGTCAGGTCAGGTCAGGTCAGGTTAGCTTAGCTTAGCTTAGGTTCTGGTCTAATTCTCAGTTAGGTTAGGTTAGGTTAGGATATGTTCTGGACTATACTGGCCTGCATGTTTCATAAATGTACCTAAACTCGATAAGAAACGATTTTGGTTGCTTTATTACTGTTACCTTGGTCCCGTACATGTTTTATGGTTCTTGATAAGCAGAAATACTGTGCTTTCGCAACAACGTAGAAACGGCGCTTGGAAGTCGAGGCAGTACGACGAATGGTTTACCTTGGTCCCGTACATTTTGTAGAGTTCTTGGTAAGCAGAAATATTGTATTTACGCAACGGCAACGCAGAAACGGCGCTGGGGAGTCCAGGTGGTGCGGTGCGCTCGGGAGCTCGCCATCGAAGTTATTGAAATTCGAAGGCAGGAGCATGATTCTACCTGTTTTGAGATGATTTACGATATGTGCCGCCTTGAACACCACGAATGGTGTGCAATGATTTTTTCTAACATTAGGTAGGAAAGTACACCTACACAGTATCTTGCAGACCTCCCTAGCCTTCCAGTAATGAAAAACCACTAATAAAATATGAAGCAGATGAAGCCAACTCAATGCCCATTTCAGGCATGCACAATTTGCAATGTATTCATTCTGGGACAATACCAGAAATTGTGTTAAACATATTAGTGGATGCTTTCTCATTTGCAGTCTTTATCAAACAAATTGTCAGCAACTTCCAACGGACAAGATCGCTTTAGCGCCATAATTCCGCAGCCATCTTACAAATACTGAAATGGGTAGTAACCAATGAAGCTGGTCACGGCTGCCCGCAAGCATGAGTACTCTGATTACGCTGCACCACTGCTACACAGGAGCACGTAGCCACAGTCATGAAGGTCGCAAAACACGACAAAATTTCATCCATCATTACAGATGCAGCTCCTCTCAGTAATTGGAAACCCAGGGAGAAATGCAACAGGTGTGATGTCACCAATAAAATGGCAAGCTTCCTACATCACGACACAAAGAATGCCTTTAGCTACACCACTCTAGCAGCGGAGACGCATTCCATAATGGGAGACCCAGACCCACACCGGTACATCCACACAATAACTCGGTTGGCATAAGTGCCTAGGGAAATGTGTGGCACAAGCCTCTGCTGACGCTATACATCCGAACTCCTTACCTTGACTGTAATTTGCGGCGCCTCAACTCTAGGATTTCCGCAACCGCCACGCAGCGCAGCCTCTTCGACTCACGAATGGTGAGCCGCCGCGGTAACAGAGTTTATATAGGTCTCATGACGTCAGCACAAAATCGACAGCTCATTGGTGCTACTCCGGAAGGTTCCGGTACCTTTGTCTGCTGAACATCCATTCGACAGAATTGAGTTCTAATTTGATTAGTAATTGTAGTCAATTTAACCAATTCCTGTTCATGATAGTCTTAGTTCATGAATTAAATATACAATTTAATTCCTTTGAAATATATTTTGTTTACAACTATACTAAGTTTGGAAAACATGCGTGGCCGACGTCCCGACAAGCTTTGCGCTCGGTAGCGCTATTGGTGAAGCCACCATGAGTCAGCTATATTGTTGACAGCTTGACAATTACTCCGCTTAAATTGAATAATGTTTCATTAAAAAGGCAATCAGGGATTCAAAAATAACGAAATAGTTTCTTAAGAAACTGCAGCTTGTGATCCTTCCCACCCGCTAAAAGGTATACGTTATTTGACCTGCTATACGCTCTTGCTTTGATGACGAATACTGCGTGGTAGATACGAAGAGTCCCGCACTTAGCCAGGCTTTCAAGAATGGAGGATGTGACAGCTCGGTATAGGGTCGTGATGTGTGGTCTCTGGTGAATCGGTCATAGCTGTGGAGGAACTGAGAGGCCTGGAGGAGTGCAATTCGGGTTGGAAAGTGGTTGCTTGAAACTGTGAAGAAGTCATTCGACTGTAAGAAGTCCACGCGTAGCTTTGGTGCGTTTGCGGAACGATAAATCTTATGGGACTCACTGTTACACCAAAATCGAAAAGCATAAGTGTGGCTGGGTTCGGAGGGCAACTAATGAGGAGCTCAAACTGAAAGCTTAGAAATAACTTCCAGGATTTCTACACTGTTTGTCTGGATATTTTGTTCGGAGCTTGTGGTCACATTTTTTCTGCATCAAAGTTGATTGCAAGCAGTGCATGTCGTATTTGTGCTAGTGTCCAGTCGTGGAGCTCCTTGTCTGTTGTGTACTTTGGCAGGTAAAGTTTATTTTAAAGATTTGAAATTATGTTGTCACACTCTACATGGTCTTTCTTGCCTGTCCTGTACACACCATTCCACATTATCCTTGGAGTGGCTGGCCATGGACCATTTGTGGGGGAATTACTGACATTGCACCTTTCTTTAAGATGAAAACTTATTTTTTATTAGGTTAGGATCACAATATAAATACAAAATGAAAATGATATAGGTAGAATATATGATCTTACTTCCTGTCCTTCAAAATGATTAAAATATAATCTCATCAGCAATGCTATTTGTAGAAGCAACTTTTTTAGTCACTGGCATGACAATACAGATGCATCAAGGTGATAGAGCTGCAGGAGATTGTGCTGATCATTGTGTGGTTGGAAAGCCAGCTGATCATGACATCTAGACATGAAATCTCAATATCATATATGTGAGTGTGAGTGGAGCATGGCAATTTGAATAACGAAAGAAAATTTTCCTTAACTATAGATATTGGATGGGATACATTAGTATATGTGTTATAATCATGGAAGAATGTATGGAACAGCTCTCATTACTGGTGGAATCCTCACCCACTGTAGAACTGTTCTTATAGCTGTTGGAGTCCCTGCTGACTATAAACAGCTGTCATTATGATCATGTCCTTACTAGGTCCCTCAAGAAATTGCTCATAATCTCCATAAACTTTTACTTTCCATAATACATTTAACTGTTATTCAAGGAAGGTGCTTCATTTTAATATGCAGTGAACAAAGGAAGGAAATTTTGTCTTCTGTTTTTATGACAAATTTGGGGGCAAAATTGGAGTGCATCATTTTGTTATAACTGGCATTATGATATGTAGCTCTCAGTTAGTTAAATGATGCTGTGCAGACACAGTTGGCATTTTTTATACAGTGCTTTGCTTTTCCTGTGATTAAGAACAAAACACTACATGAGGCAGTCAAAGATGTGCCTCTGCTAAGGTGCAGATTTGTTTGTTTTTAGATGAGGGGAATGAATAACACCATCATTTGTGTGCATCTCTTATGCCTGGTTTGAAATATTTTCATTGCTGTACAAGATGTACATTTTCAGTCTGTACTGTCAAGAGCCACAGACTAAGATGCCATTTGGAAACACAGACTCCTATGTATTTCCAAAACACTAAAAATTTGGTGTTGATGACACTAAATGTGGGCATGTGTGGGCCTGTGGGCACTAAATGTGGCAAAATGGGGCACTAAATGTGGGCTTGGTGTGTGCATGACCTGTCTGTTTCAGAACGCTGCAGCAATGGTGTCGGTGCGGTTTTGCTGCCACACGCCAGAGGGCGGCCGCCGGCAGACGGTGCAGCTGCCGGCCACCTGCCTGGCGGAGGAGGTGGCGGCCTGTCGCGCCGCCGCCGCCCGCCTGCTCGGCCTCACCCCCGACCGCATCGGTGGGTGACGCTGCTCGGGCCGCCTTCCGCTCCGTGCGTGTCACAGGGCGCCGCGGCCGACTAACAGTGACCGTCTGTTGACTGTCAGCCGGCTTACCGTGCCCGCTCGTGAACTGCTGGCGGTCGTTTGTCTCCTCTTTCGTGCTGATGCGTAAGACTTGAATGACAAGCTCAAGTGGTTGTAGTTGGATACTAAATGGCCATAGTAGCCGGCGGTTCGGCGGGCACTTAAGCTCGGCCAATCACCAGTAGGCGCGCCACGGCTGTGCGGTGGACCTGCTCGATGGCTGACGCGCTGCGCCTGCCGCCCCCCGCAGAGCTGGTGTACCGCGGCCAGCCGCTGGCCGACGCTCGGCCGCTCGCCTCGTACCAGGTGACCGCGGCCAGCGTGCTGCACGCCTTCAGCCGGCCGCTGCCGGTGGCAGGTGGGTGCACCGCCGCTGGTGCGCCGCCGACTGGCGCCAGTCGGGAGCCTCCGACCTCCGCCGATGCTGCCGTACCGGCAATGGCTGGAGCCCTCTGTCGCAGAGACGTCATTAGTGTGGTGTGGGGTTTGCACCGTCTTGCCAGGTTCTGTACTAATGTGTATTTGTGCGTATTTTTGAGTGGTACTTACGACGATGCAATACAACCGTGTAAAATGTGTAACCAATCGTGTAGCCTGCGTCATTCCGTGGCCCTCGTACTCGGGACCTGGTGGCGTTGTGATCCCGCGGCCGTCGCCAGCTTTGCCGGCGCCCGTTACCCCGGCTAGCCACAGCGTGTTGCCCCGCCGCCGGCACTGCCAGCGCCGTTGCCCCGCCTAGCCACAGCGTGTTGCCTCGCCGCCGGCACTGCCAGCGCCTGTTACCCCGCCTAGCCACAGCGTGTTGCCCGTCGCCGGCACTGCCAGCGTCGTTGCCCCGCCTAGCCATAGCGTGTTGCCCCGTCGCCGGCACTGCCAGCGTCGTTACCCCGCCTAGCCATAGCGTGTTGCCCCGCCGCCGGCACTGCCAGCGCCTGTTGTCCCGCCTAGCCACAGCGTGTTGCCCCGCCGCCGGCACTGCCAGCGCCTGTTGTCTCGCCTAGCCACAGCGTGTTGCCCCGCCGCCGGCACTGCCAGCGCCGTTGCCCCGCCTAGCCACAGCGTGTTGCCCCGCCGCCGGCAGAGACGGCCGCCAAGCCGGCCACCGAGTGGGACGTGTCACAGCTCACCCTGACTATGAAGACGGCCACGCTGAGCCCCGGCTACCGCACCGTACTGCAGGTATGCGCGTGACCCGCTCCTGGTGGCGGTGCGCGCCCCGGGGCCAACATGTGACCGGTGGCAGCGGTCTGCCGCAGGTGGGCTGCTTTGTTGCCATGGGACGTAGAAGCGTGGTGAACATCCGTAGAGAGATGGTGCTGTCTGTGCGGAGCGTTGTTTCATTGTGGGACACTCGGTGGTGGTCGCAGCTACCATCATTGTGGCACGTCTTTCGCACTCCTGTAGAATATTGCGTGGGACAGTCGGCGATGTTCACAAACTCACTGTGGACAAGTATGGCGTTTCTATTGCACATGCCAGGAGCATACTTTTGATGTCAAATGACGTTCTTAAGCTTACTGACCGCGAACGGTCATCCGGAAAGACCGCCCACAAAAACTCACACTACGCTTGTGTGCGATCGGTCTAATACTTTGCAAAAGTCCTTGTGAAATTATAGCGACCGCTGATGATTAATCAATCTTACATCAAACTGAGGCTTTCTCAGTCTTGCGAGTGCCCTAGAACGCAAGAACGGAAATGGACCTTGGCCACGGCAGATACCTGCAATGGTTCTACAATGGTTGTCGCATCGGAAGTGTTTCGATTTTGTCTGGGTGACATCGGCCATCTGTAGATTATGTTGCGATGGCCAATCTGAGGGAACAAAATCTAGGGCAGTTTCTACAGCCATCGAGTCTGGAATTGACGCTTTCGTGATATCTGGCCTAAGTGTTTGGAGCATTTCGGGTGGTATTTTATGATAACTTCGTGATATATGACACGTCCACTGAAGGATCCTCGCAGCACGCTGGATTACAGTTCCTTCCTTCCAGTTCCAGTTCAGATCACGTGCCTTATTTTGACGAGCGTTTACCAGAGAGCATGCCGGACATACAGCACCCTTTCGAATCCCAGAAAATTGGGTGTTACACTTGGCACTGCACTGGAATCGCTAAACCGCCTCGTCACAGACATGTTAGTGTTGAACGAGGCGGCCAGGGTGGCGGGGTCTGATGTGTGAGTCAGCTGGCCGGCCGCCGCGCCAAGTGCGCCCTGACCCCTCCCCGCGGCGCCGGCGCGCCACCGCTAGGCCCGTGCCGGTGCCGTGCCGACCCAGTCTCCCGTCTGCCGGTGTACCGCCCCCGGCGCCCCGCTTGACCCGGTCGGCGCCGTGTGCGCAGCGGCTGGCGCGCCCGGACGTGTTGGAGCGGCTGCTGACGGCGGTGCCGGCGCTGGCCGCCGACCCGACGGCAGTGGCGCTGCTACAGGAGCCGTCGCTGCTGCTCCAGCTGACCGACCCGGCCGTCGTGCACAAGTGAGGCGCGCCTGCGCGCCGCTCGGCCGCGCTCGCTGTGTGTGGCGCCTCGGTGGTGCGGCCCTTTGTCG